TTTACATAATGCACACATTTCTGAGTCCTTACTCTGAGCTGGGCCTGCATTAAGTACAATGGCTTTTGAGAATTGGCCCTGGTCTGCAAGGCATACATACACTAGTGAAAGAGGTTCAAGTCAAGCCAAATGTGGATGTGTGTATGGACGTATATTTACATTTCTATATGATATTTCCACACCTATGCACATGCACACACAGAGAGACAGAGAAAGAGAGAGAAAAAGAAGCAAACAAACAGAGAGAACAGAGTTTGAACTGAGAGAAGAAATGAACAAAGCTACTGAATTGCCAAGAGGTCAGAAAGGGGGAATTTCACCAAATCTCAGACACTAGAGCACAGTCTTTCAGCAATCAATAATTACAGCCACTTGTGTTCAGTGCTGTTTACATGCCATGAACTGGGCTAAGTGGTTTCTAAGCACATCCTGATGACCATTTTGCAAGGTAGATCTTTGCATCCCATTTTATAGATGAGGAAATAGGCTCAAAGGGGTTAACTAATGTGCCCAAGATTATCTAGCTAAGAAGCAACAGGGCCAGGACTGGAACCCAGATTTCTCTGGCTACTAAGCCCATATTTTACTTCATGTAGGACAGGAGAAAACGCCCAAAATGTCTATGTCAAGAAACGATAGCGTGGCAACCACTCCTCACTGCTCAGGCAGCAGGGTGGCCCTAAAGATGCAGGGGGAGTCAGGATTCAGATTCCGGTCATCAGGCCTCAACGAGCAGTGCTGGAGTCAGACAAGGCACCCAGGCACACCAGGGGGAGAGCCATGGTCTTCTGGGGGTGACCAGCCTGGTGGACCATCTGGGAAGGTTCCTAGGGAGACCATGTCTAAGCCTGGCCGTGTCTTGAGTAACAGAAAGAATTGGGCTGAGAAAGACATAGTCCAGAGGATCCAGGCCAGGAATGAGCACATCCTGGTGGTCCAGGAACCACTCAGGAGACAGCAAGTCAGAGTGCACCCTCTGATGCCTTGCTGAGGGCTTCTGGTCATTTGTGAGAAATAACTGTCATGCACCTGTGAGACACATGCTACTTGCCCAGAGATGATTTAGAACAATTCACCATAAAAATTCCATACCACCTTCCCCACTGCGGGAAGTACTGCAATGTGCCATTTGGAATATGCAAGAATGGTTTTTGAATCTGTGGGAGGGAGGATGAGGCTGCTGCTCAAAGCAAAAACACTGGTTTCCATTCATGAACGCAAGGCCCACTTTCCTCACCTCACCAGCAGGCTTTGAACAACATCCCTGGACTCTCCTACTGCTGTGGGCAGGGCCACGGGGCTCATGGGGAACTCAGATATACAATCAGCTCCGCTTCCATGTGGCTGCTAGACCTGCTTTTAAAACCAAAGGGGAGAATATCTGATGACAGCCAGGGGCACTGAGCAGGTGACCCTTATTCTCACCCCGGAGCCATGCCCTCCACTGGCGGTCTTGGCAAGGCATTTACCCTGTCTCAGACTTAGCTCTTCATCTGTGAAATGGACTGACACCAGTCCTGCATGGGTGTTAACAATTAGAGACAGCCCAGGTAAAGGGATTAGCATAGTGCCTGTTACATAGTAAGGAGGGGCTCCTTAAACTGCAATTACTACAATTATACCACTACTATTATAATTCTGCTCTGTCTTCTTCCTACCTCCCTCCTCATTACCAAACACATGCCCTCTTCCTACCTCCACTTCCCTTGTCTGCCCCCGCCATATAGTACTACACTTTGGAAAAATTCTGTCTACTGTCATTCTCTTAAAATTTCCACATAAAAATCTTATCTCTCCAATCAGCCGTGGGCAAACTACAGCCCGCAGGCCGGATCCGGCCCGTTTGAAATGAATAAAACTAAAAAAAAAAAAAAGACCGTACCCTTTTATGTAATGATGTTTACTTTGAATTTATATTAGTTCACACAAACACTCCATCCATGCTTTTGTTCCGGCCCTCCGGTCCAGTTTAAGAACCCATTGTGGCCCTCGAGTCAAAAAGTTTGCCCACCCCTGAACTAGATCAAAGTTCTCAAAAAAGTAGGAATGAGATGGGTGTGGGGGATGGTCTTCTGATATGTCCTAAGAATCCTCCTGAGCACTGGGCCTGGCTCCGGGCACACCGGTGGGCACTTCAACAACTGATGGTATATACTGCGTTACTGTCCTCAACGACCTGTTGAGAATGGGAAAGAAACTGTGTACCAGGTCCTTGAAACTTGAGACCACCGATACATCACTGAATCTAGCATAAACCTTAAGAAATCTGTCTCAATTGCATTGTCTTTCCTTGGGCTAAGACATGTCTCCTCTGCCTCCAGAGACTCTTTGGGTCCACAACACTTCCCAGGCTTTGTTTATAAAACATGCGTGTGGGAACTCATCTTCTCAAGAAGTGTTTGTCCTTTCTGAATAGCCAATATACGGGAGAGTAGAGGGAAGGGGTTATAATAAATGCTGGGCCAATGTGGTGTTTCCAAAATCGGGAATATGTTTACACTGAAAGTGCAGTAATTCTGTGAAAAGCCTAAACAGTTGCTGAGATTAGCTACTCAGCTCCCTACAGCAAGAAGCCAGGAACACAAAGGCAGAACAAGCTGTGCTCCACGGCCATCGCGGGTGAGCCCAAAGCCCAGAGGATGTGCCTCCAGACAGTTGTCCAGAGGGTGCACTCAACCCTGCCAGGCAGCTTGACACGGCCACACTCCCCATTTTCTCCTGCACGTGAAAACAGAATTGTATGGAAGAGGAAAGCCATTTTTTGTTCACTCTTCTTCACAAGGCTTCCTGACTCCTCTTTTTCAGTGATGGAAATAGTAATGACATAAACCTTAGCAATGGCAAAGTCAGCAGCAGGGTGCATTATACATGAACCTTACCTTTATTTTCTCAAATGTTCTTCACATATCATGAGAGATTTGGAAATGTAAGATTTAAATACACTGTAATAAGAAAAGTCAGCTCTATAAATATCAACTAAAGTGTCATAATAAACGCTTCTGTTTTGATCAAATATTATACATTTGTCTGTTTTTATGCGGCGCTCTTTGCAGCCCCCTAGTGGTTGGGAGGGGAAAGAAAGAAGAATGGAGTATTCGACAGCAACCTCACTCTGCAGAACCAATCAACTTTTTACACTGGAAAGGCAAATGGCTTGTTTCACCATGAAATGAACATACATATTCTAAGTGGGGGATATGAAAAGTGTTAGTTAAAATGAACATAATTGTTCAGGTAAACGTGAAATCACATTAGCCTGGATTTTTTTTCTTTTTAATCTTTCTTTTCTCTACAAAGCTTTCCATGCTGACCTGAGACCTCCACAATGATGGGCACACCAGGTCTTCTTCCCACACAAGTGTTTCCCATTTCTTCACTTGCTGTGAACTCCCCTGTTTGCAGACATTTGCTTATAAACACACCATTCCCTCTACTACAAAGTGATGGAAAATCTCCAAAAATAATCATTTGCCTATTTAGCCAAGTGTCTATATTGGGGAAGAGGTTTGAAGTTCATTGGTTTATATTTGTTTCACCAAAGCAACAGTCTCTTGGAACGACCCCTTCCTATCAGCAACTCATTTTCATAATGAATTTTTCTGTTTTCCCAAAAATGAAATGGCCCCTCCAGTAGAGGGGGGTGGGGGAATTTGATGAAAAGAAATAGGATGCCTGCTTATAAAATAGTTTTGAAATCATGTTACCAAAAGAAGTAAACGATTATAGGATAAACAACAACTCTCCTAGTCTCACATTTATCACTCTCAAGTTGCAAGACCAGCATTACCCAGGCCCAGAGGAGGTTAATGGTCGGCCTCTCTCTCTCCTCCTCTTCCAAAAAGTAATTAAACCTGGTACACATTCCCTCCCTGACTGGTAAGCTATGGCTCAAAGCCAGTTTGCAAATCAAGTTGCCTCTAATAGGGAGCCTCTTTACCTACAGATGAAAACCCTTTCAACCTCTGATGATGGTCAGCCAAGATTCCCGCGACCATGTTACCTGGCAGATTTGGCCACAGCCCTCAAACCAAACGCACGCCAGCGCAGAGAATCAACAAGTTCTCACTAAACCGGGCGCTCCAGCCCAGATCTGTATTGCCTCCCCAGCGCCCAGCGCCCACCGCCCCCTGCCTCCCTCCTACCCCCCTGCCCCGTCTACTCCTCCCTACACTCTCTCCCAAAGGTCCTTGAAGCACGTGACCTTCTTTTCAGCTCCGCCCTCCAGGCGCCCCCACCCCAGCGCTTCCCCGGGCTCGGCTCTCCAGGCAGCGGTCAAACTCCGCCGCTCGCCAGCCTAGCCTCCAGGCAGCGCCAGGCCTCCGCCGAGATCCGGCTTTTTCGGGGCGGGAGGCGTAGGGAGGTCAAGAGCTCCTACTTAACCGGGCGGGCTCCTCCGCCACCTGCGCCAGAGCGAAGTGAAGAGACAGTGGAGAGCGTCACCTGCCGCACTTCTACCCGACTTCACGGCCCACCCGGGGGGCGCGTGTTCCCAGGGGAGGCAGACCCGCCCCGGGGAAACTGAGGCCAGCCAGGGGGCTTTCCCCTGGGGCCCACAAGTTTCCACCCCATCCCCGAGCTGGGGGCCGAGCTCCGCTCCCTCCTTTGCAGGCACCGCCGCTGATCCCTCCCTCCGGGCAGAGCAGACAACTGCCTCTCCTCCCCGCGCCAGCGCCCCGCTCCTCCGTTCCGAGCCGGCGCCCGCGACTCGCTGCGGCCCCCGCCCCAGCCAGACAGCCCCCAAAGTTGTCCAGACTCCCCAAAGCTCGCTCCTCCTCGGCCCGCCTGGACCCCGCCCAGAAGTTGGGCCGGCGTCTGCAGGTGGAACCTCTCTGGTCCCCGGCGCAGGGCGCTCACTTCGGGGATCCCGGCCGCACCGAAGCCCGGGGAGCTGCGGCCAGGGAGGGTGAGCAAATGTAGCGTGAGCCGGGTCCCCGCCGCTGGCACCCGCAAGCCCGCCCCGTCTCCCTCCTCGGAGAGAAGGAAACTTCCCCAGCACCCACCTTTAGCCGCGAGGAGGCGGCGCCGCCGGCTGCCGCCGCCACCGCTGCCGCCGTCGCTCCCCACGCCCAGCGCCAGCAGGAGCGGCACCCAGCACAGCCTCCCCGTCAGCATCCTCGCCGCCGCCCAGAGCTGTCTGCCGCCTT